TAGACGATCTTTTATGACTCTGAGACTCAGTTTCCTCCCATCATGTGAGAGGATCATCAGGATTAAATATGAACCAGGGCTTGGCACAAGGCCAGCAGCACCCCACGTAGTGACCACCAGGGTTCAGTTGGGACTAATAAAGGGGCAGCCCTCACCCCAAAAGCTGGGAGGTTTGCTCACAGCCAGATCGCCTTTAACTTCTAATGGGAAAAGCGCCCTGGGGCTCCTGCTGGCCCCGCCCCACCCCCACCTGCTGGCCTTGGGCACGGAACCCCAGCGCCCCGCGCGCACCGAGCCGTTGCGTTTGAACCCCACAGAAAGAATACCAGGGCAAGACGGCCAGGGGCTGGGAGTTACTTGGCAAGAAAATTGGTTCAAGCCCTCTGGAGAGCCTGGCCCACCCAGCCGAGACCGCGCCCTTTTAAGGACCGTGTCCCTTTGCGAATAGGACCGCACACCGGCGCAGGGCTGCAGCGGGTGTCTGCGGAGGGTCCGCGGTAGGGCTGGCTGCCCTCGGCTCACTGGAGATTGCTTTCTTGGGCGCACAGCGGCGGTGGGAGGCGGAGACAGAAGCGAATAGACAGGAGATAGGAGATCTAAAGAGGGGACTCTGGGGTGGGCGGGGCCGTTGGGCCTCGGAGTGCGAGAGGTCCACCAAAGGCCCAAGTCAAAACCTTATGGGGGGCTCCTGCCCCGCTGAGCCTAGCCCGGTGCCAGGCCCTTACCCAGCCGTCTGCGTCTGAGTGGCTTGGCTGAAAATGGGCTGAGCCTCAGGTCCCGAAAGGGCACCGCCAGGGACTGTGGGGAGAGCCAGTAGTTCCCTCCAGCTGTTCCCAGATGTCATTTTGCCTGCCCAGGCACCTGAGTCCTGAGCTCCTCCAGGGGATTCCACTGTTACTAAGCTACTGGGTTTGGTTGACTTTTAAATAGTTTCTTCTAAGGGGGGGGCAAGAGTCAAGAAAGAGCAAATAAAAACAAATCAAAACAAGCCTCCCCTCCCCAAAAGAAAGCTGTCCCCCGACCCACCACCCCTACACAAAGCAAAGTCTTCCCCAGCCACCTGGCAGGAGCAACAGCCAGACAGAACTGATCTCCCCAAGGCAGGTTCTCAGCTCCCTTTCTGGTGAATGTGGGACAGCTGTGCACTGTCCCTCTGTCTTCAAGTCCTGCTTCTGGAAAGAAAGATGGCCAGTGGGAATGGGCTGCCTTCATCCTCGGCCCTGGTGGCCAAGCGTCCCTCTGCCCTGGGCCCATTTCCCAGATTTGTCTGGATCCACCAGGACACCCCCCAAGATAGCTTAGACAAGACTTGCCATGAAATCTGGAAGAAAGTTCAAGACTTGCCTGAGGCCCTGCAGCCCAAGACCTACATGGAGCAGCTCTCTGCCCCCACAGCTGGGACTCCAAGAGACTACTGTTTGGGCTTCCAAGAAGAGTGAGTATCCCAGTATTTGGTTGGCAGCAAGGGAGGAGGAAGATGAAGTCTGACCTTCTGGGGGGAAATGATCTGACTCAGTATTCAGTCTGGTTAAATTCTAAACACTGTATTCTTCTCCTCCACCTCCATAGAGTGGTGTGCAATCTTCATAGAAGGCAAAGGTTCTGAAGTTTGCTAGGGAAAGGGCCAGACCAAGGCTGCCTCTTACCAGCACGAAGGTGACATTTCTCATTCTAAAGTCATAGGCAACTCAGATGTGGATGAGGGCCTTAAAAGAGCACCCTAGCCAAGGCTGAGGGTTAGATAGCTCGTGACTGTTCCCAGAAGCAACTGGGAACAGATCCATCCTCCCTCCCACGCAAAGGCTGGGCATTCGCATAGATGAGTCTGGTGGCTTTAAACCACATCTGGAATTCCCTAATACAGGGAGCAGCTGTCCCATTCAGCCTCCACAGAAGCTACTGCAAGAACGCACATCAAAATATTTACTGAGAAGCCATTGACATATTCAGAGGACATAATAGAAAATTAAAGTGCAGGAAGATGGCTGTAAATAGCCTGTTCCCTGGATGGGAAATCCTGTGTCTGGGAAACACAGAGCTAAATGTTTCTCCATCAGGGCAAGGTTGAGCAAATAATCTTGGGGATAGATATTTGCAAGGAACAAAGAGAGAGGGAAAAGGGACCTCATTAGGAAAAGAAAGTAAATCAGCTGACGTTATTAATGCCACTGTTGAGCACTTCTTCAATGCTTTGCATCTTCAAAGTGGGCTACAAACATTAATTAATCCTCCTAGAGTCTCTGTGAAGCAGGTATTAGTGTCCCCATTTTACAGATGTATTAAGTGTTAATAATTAAGTGCTAATTAAAGACTAAGTGATAATTAAGTGTTGTCTGCTGCAACACATGCTCCAGCTCAGTTCAGAGCTGCTCTGGAGTGGGAGAACCATCTAGGCATTTATCAGCTGCCTCTAGTTTCAAAAATATCTAAGCAAGAGCTCAGAAGAAAAGCAAAGGGTATCTGGTGCCCAGGTCTGCACTACCTGCTGTCCCTATACAGGTTAATTTCCTTGCTACAGTTGAGAGTGGAAGGCACTTTGGCTGTTCTTGCCTCCTCTGCCCTGTGCTCAGCATGACATGGCTCAACTGGGTATGGCTCATCTACAGCCAGAACCCTGCTGTCAGACCTTTTGGTGGCACTGTGCTCCTCACCCCTTCCCATTGCCATCTGTTCTGGGACAGGGCCTTGGGAAGGGGGGTAGGGATCGGCACTGTGCTCAGTTCTCAATAACCAAAGAGCTGCTTGTCCGCTTTGTGGACCAAGGGTCAGTAGCAATTTCCAGTAGATGGCACCCTCTCTGCCAGGTCACACTGAATTAATGGAGACAGGCTCTACTTCCAGTCTTACACTTGGCCAAAAATTGAACTGGCACACCTTTGGCCAGTTGTTTAACTCCATTTGGCCTTGATTTCCTCATCTGCAAATTGAGGATGATATGCCCTGCCCTGTCCACCTCTGAGTTGATAATGAGGATCAAATGTGATGGGAGACAAGGAAAGGAAAGATGCATCATACAAATGAGGCTGCCCTTAGTATGTGATCCATGGAGTCCCGGGGTAGGCGTAGGGTTGTTGTGATTGTCGGCTTTGATCTGAGTTCTTCACACTCTGCCCCCTGGACCCCAGAGCACTTCGGCAACCACCCTGGAGTGAAGAGGGCTGGTTGCTGGGCCCCAACCTCCACTTCAACCAGAGCCATTCTGTTTTGGTCAGTGTTACTCGCTGGAGTTCCGAGTCAAGTTGCGTTTGAAAAGAGTCCTGCTATTGAGAGAAGAGCTGGAAACCACTGGCTAGATGAATAAGTGACATCTTAATCATGTAGATCTCAACCAAGTGGAACACAATGAGCTCTTCTCTTAATAAAAGGAAGCTGTGCTGGTGAAGTCAGGTAACTGGTTTCATATCACATTTCAGCCAAGTGCCGGCTAATTTAACTGAGCTTTGTTTGGTCTCCTCATCTGCCAAATGGGGATGATGACTGTACATTTCACAGGGCTGCTGGGGTGACTACATAAGACAGGTAGGCAGTTCTGTTAATAATTGAAATTAGTGAAAATTCCTTGTAATGATGATGTTTTTTAATCATTTTCTCAAGCCCTATAATTATTACATCTGGTAGATAGTATTTTAAACTCTTCATCTTTTTTTTTTCCTACTTTTTACTATGCAAATGTTTCAAAGGTAAAATGAATAGTATAGTAAATGACCATGTGTTTAATGCTGAGTTTCAGTAATTGTTAGATTGTGCCATTTGGGTTTCCCTTGTACCCTTGGCCCATTTTAAAATGAAACTCTTAGCTGGGCATGGTGGCACATGCCTATAATTCTAGCATTCTGGGAGGCTGTCCGCATGACTTAGCAAGTTAGCAAGACCCTGTCTCAAAATGACATTTTTAAAAAAATGTAAAGGGCTAAGGATGTAGCTCAGTGCAAAATCCCTGGGTTTGTTCTGGAAAAAAGAGAAAGGAAGAAAGAAGAAAGGAGGGGAGGGAGGGAGGGAAGAAAAAAATGGATGTTTGTTAGAAATGAGGTTTGGAGGGATTAATTTCTTGGCCTGAGGCTCTACACTTAGGAAGTAGTAGGGTTTCAGAAAGGAAACCCAAGACCACATTAGACTATGGTGTGTTAACGCTGGCTATCTTCCCATGGAATCTAAATCACCTTTCAATAGTCAAGATATTTAAGAGTCCATGTTTTGGATGATCACCCACAGATTTCAAATCTAGGGACCTGTCAGTGTTATCTCCGGGGCATCTTCAGGCCTGTAAGACACATCTCAGCTAGTCTTTCCACTGCTCAATTTGTAGACTTGGTTTTGGGTAGCAAGCTAAGTTAGGTCTAGAATTCATTGGCCGCAAATGTTTTGGACCTTGTCCCTACACATCAGTGACGGTGAACCTTTTAGAGACTGAGCGCCCAAACTGCAACCCCAAACCCACTTATTTATTGCAAAGTCCCAACTCTGCAATCAACCCTGAATAGTGAGGCTTTAGTTTAGAAAAAGCAACTCGTTTCCAATGCTTGACTGCTGGGGCTGCTTGTCAGCTCGAATGCCAACAGAGGAGGTTATGAGTGCCTGCTGTGATACGTAGGCTGTAAGTTCACCACCACTGCAACTTAGCATATAAACCCCAATAGGGCATGTTTGAAAAAGATACTGGAAGCTACCCCCAGCTTCAAGGATCCCTTCCTCAATGCCCTTGCCAAGTGGCTATCCACCATACCATTTCTTAGGGAGCCATCACGCTAACACAGCTCCTTCCCGGGCTATGGACTATCTGAAAAGGTCTTTTTATTTTTTTCCTGTAACTAAAATCTTTGTCTATCAAACTAATACTCATTGATCTGGGTTCTGCCCTTGGGGCTCGAGAGCAAATTTGTCCTTTTTCTCAATACCTCCTGATGTAGTAAAAGATGGCAACAATAGTTCTCCCAGAAATTCTTATCCCTACAAGCTAAATGCTTCTGGTGTCGTAAGTTTACTTTTCCATGCCAACTTGGTCTGTTTCCTGTCCACACTGCTGGTCCTTGCGGCAAGGTGGTTTCTAGAGCCAAATATAGTGATGCCAATATGATCCTATCTGTGCAGACTGGAGCCACTCTGTCTACATTTTATATTTCTGTTAATGGTGATTAACACCACGTTCCCTTTCTCTCCACACTGACTTTACTCTATGGACACATTTTTCATTCATTCATTCAACAAACATTTATTAAGCATCTACTACATGCCTGGCACTGTGCTAAGTGAGAGGGACAGGCCCATGAACAAGATAAGGCATCAGAAAACAAGTAAATAGTATTAACAATAACAATAAAATCATGATAACTTTGGAGTATGAAAAGAACTGGTATTTTTTTTTGGAGAAGACTGATGATAACCACATAAAAATAAATAAGATAATTTTAAATAGTGCTGAGTGCAGTGATGGAAATAAAACAGAGCAAAGTAATGGCACGAGCCCCTTTAGATGGACTGTCATGTCCTTTGACCCAAGTCCCGGATGCCAAGTGGGAACCTATGACGTCACGGGGAAGGGTGTCCAGGTAGAAGGAAGAGTGAGGGCACAGACCCCTGAGATTTGTGTGAGCTTTGAGAGGGACAGCACAGCTGAGGTGCAGTGAGGGGTGGGAACATAGAGTAAGGCATATGGGGGAGAGGCTGGCAAGGTCTTAGATGCTTGGGGTATCACTGAAGAGGGCCCGAGTTTATTCTACACGTTGTAGGACCCCTGTGGAGGTTTGCGGGAAGGCAGCATGACACAGTGAGCTAACTATGATACTCTTACCAAGATGTATCCACTATCTCACTGTGCAAAAGTGGCGGTGGTAGGACTAGGATGAATGCAGCGTGAATGAGGAAAGGGGGAGACCCGGTAGGCAATCGGAGAGGAGCCATCAGGCTACGCTTATGGCTTGGGGCACATGGACAGAGACATCAGTGCTGAACCCAGGTTTTGGCTTGAGCCCCTGGTTGGGCAGTTTGGAAAGGTGGGAAAGAAATGGGGAGAAACGGGTTTGGGAGAGAAATCAACAGTCCTGCCTAATGTCAGGTGAACTCCAGAATCTGGTGCAGTTATCTTTGGTCTTCAATCTGGGCTTAGAGATTTGTACCAAGCTGCTTACTGACTCGCCTTCAACGATTATTTGTTCATTTATTTCATTTATTCAATTATTTCACAGCCTCAGAGTGGGGGCTGTGACTTTTCTGTTGACTCCATTGCCCTGACAGGGGAAGAACACTTGTTAATTTTTGTGTTTTTGGATTCCTTCAACAAACGTTTACAGTTGTCTTCTGAGCACCAGGACTCGTGTTGGATTCTGGGGATATAGGGACAGAAACCCTTCCCTTCGAGAGCTCCCATTGTAGTGGACAAGATGGGCACAGATTCATCTGGCAACAGTGAGACTAGCAAACATTTATTGTACTCCTACT